GAATGCAACTCTACCTGCCAATACGAGAACGCTGAAGGAGAGCTCGGCAAAAGGGACCCCTCCTCAACCTTTGCAGCATGAAGCATTGACGAGGCTACCGGGCAGTAACGATGTCCAAACTAGGCCATCTCTCTGGATTTGACACAGCTCATCCGGAACGCTGGAGCTCTTATGTGGCCCGGGTAGAGAACTACTTTTGGGTAAACCAAATCTGAGAAGATGGTCTTAAAGCTGCTACGCTACTGTGTGTCTGTGGGCCAGAGACTTTCGATATTGCAGAGAATCTGGTCACCCCAGCACCACTTGAATCAATTGCTTATGCTGAGCTGAAAAGAACGCTGCGAGAACATTTTGAACCAAAGCTTTCGGTGATTGCATGGCAACACACATTCGAGCAGAGGGACCAGAGGCCTGGTGAGTCTGCTGCGGACTTTATTGCTGCATTATGACAAGCAGCTAGGCCATGTGAATTCAAAGATCTGGAAGAGAGACTTTGGTATCATTTAGTTTGTGGACTGAGAAGTCGTGAGCTGCAACAGAAGATCTTCGCAAGGGAAGACGTCTCTTTCCAAGATGTCTTGAGAGAAATTGTAGTCAAAGAAGCGGCAGGCGGAGCTTTGAAGGCCTTGTGACTCGCCAAGAACCCTCCAACTTCAATCTCCGTCCATCAAGAGGTCGCTCGAGAAGAATCCGAACAGGAGCCAGAGATGGAGGTGGGCCATCTACAGCAGCCAGTGGAGAGAAGGCCTCAAGAGCACAGAGACAAGGCAACCTCATTCCCTTGGTGTTTCAGATGTGGAGGATGCCACAAGCGCTCCGATTGCCGTTTCCACTCTGCCATTTGCCGGGCATGTGGTAGGCAAGGCCACATTGCCTCCATCTGTTGGGGTCGCCAGAAGGACCGGTCTTTGGAAGAATTGCCTCAGAAAGGTACCAGGGTCCCCAGCCAGAACAGGGTGGGTTTTTGCGCGTCATGTAGAAGCATTTTTAAAACCGGGGCCCATAGGCTGCTTAGGAAGAAGCTTCACATTGATGTGAAGTTGCAAGGGGTTCCCTTATCGATGGAGTTGGACACAGGGTCCGCTTTATTGATCATTTCCCAAGACACTTTCAAAAAGATTTGTTGTAGAAGTGGCCTACGAGTTAAACTCAGGCCATCAAATTTAATCCTTACTGACTTCCAGAATTCCTGAGTCAGCGTGAAGGGGGAGGCCACGCTCAAGGTGCAGCATAGGAATTTTGAAGGGTTGCTAGATGTGGTGGTAGTTGGGGGTGATCGCACAAGTCTTATTGGACTCGATTGGTTCGAGGCCCTTGGAATCCAAGTGACTGGACTTCACAGTTTGCAAACGACAGGCCTTGCAGAAGTTTGCAAAGAGTTTGCTGATGTGTTCAGTTCAGAGCTTGGCTCATACAAGGGGTCTCCCATTGCTTTACATTTATACCCAGCTGTCACACCCATTAGGATTAAGCCCCGACGGGTGCCCTTCGCATTGAAGAACAAGATTAATGCAGAGCTGGACAAGCTGCTCCAGCAGGGCATCTTAAAGCCTGTGGACAGTAGTCCATGGGAAACCCCCATAGTCACGCCACTGAAGGCCAATGGAGAAGTCCAAATTTGTGTGGACTATAAGTGTACACTTAACAAAGCATTGCAGCGGCACTCGTACCCAGTGCCAGTGGTGAGCCACATTCTGGCCTCCCTCAAAGGAGGCCGCATTTTTGCCAAACTTGACTTGGCTCAGGCCTATCAACAATTACCAATTGATGAGGCAACGGCAGAGGCCCAAACAATTGTAACGCACCGGGGAGCATTTAAAGTTAAAAGGCTGCAGTTTGGGGTTAATGTAGCCCTGGGCATCTTCCAGAGTGTGATGGAGCGAACGCTCCGCAATATTCCAGGCGTTTGCCCGTACTTTGATGATGTCCTCATCGCTGGGGAATCATCTGAAAATCTGGCTGAAAGGCTTAGAGCTGTCTTGCTGCATTTCCGCCAAGCAGGGCTGAAGCTAAAGCAAGACAAATGTAAGATTGGAGTCACTTCCACAGAGTTTCTGGGGTTCCGTATTGATGCTGAAGGCATCCATCCTGCTGAATCTAAGCTTAAAGCAATTCAGCAGGCCCAAAGTCCCAAGTCCAAAAGCGAACTTCAGGCTTTTCTGGGACTGTTAAACTTTTACCATTCATTCCTCATAAGGCTGCAGTGGCTGAGCCATTACACCGGCTCTTGGATAAACATGGCTGTGGACAAAAGTCCACGAAAGGAGTTTTGCAGAGGTCAAGGCCTTGCTATCTTCAAATGCAGTTCTAGCGCATTTCAATGAGCAATTGCCTGTATGCATAGCCTGTGATGCATCCCCTTATGGGATTGGGGCTGTGTTGAGTCACTTGAAGGCTGATGGGACAGAAGTCCCTGTAGCCTACTATTCTAGGACCCTATCATCTGCTGAACGTAATTACGCACAGATAGATAGGGAAGCCTTGGCCATAGTGGCTGGCATAAAAAAGTTCCATGACTTTTTATATGGCTGCCATTTCATGGTCTTTACAGACCATAAGCCATTGCTGGGGTTGTTTACAACCAACAAGCAAACCCCACACATCATCTCTCCTAGAATGCTGAGATGGTCAATTTTCCTTTCTGCATATGACTATACTCTGGTTCACAAACCGGGCAAAGAAATGGGCCATGCAGATGGCCTCAGCAGATTACCTCTACAGCTAGTGGAGTCAGATCCTGCTCCAGCTTACCACATACTTTTCTTTCAGGAGTTGCCTGAGTCTCCCCTCAATGCTAGGGATGTGGCTGCAGAAACAGTCACTGATCACATGCTAACACATGTGCTGACATGGGTGCTGTCAGGGTGGCCTGACACATGTCCTGGCACAGAGTTCCAGAGTTTCTGGAAGGGGAAGCACGAGCTATCCACCTTCAAGAGTTATGTCCTCTGGGGTAGTAGGGTAGTGATCCCAACCTCATTGAGGACTAGAGTCTTGCTCTCTCTGCATGAGGGACATCCGGGTATAGTCCGGATGAAGGCGCTTGCGCGCAGCCATCTTTGATGGCCTGGGCTTGATCAAGAGATCGAGGCCCAGGTCCACGGGTGTACTGTTTGCCAACAGTCCAGGCCTGAAATGCCACAGGCTCCTGTACATAGGTGGGAGGTGACACACGCCCCTTGGTCGAGGGTTCATATCAACTATGCTGGGCCCTTTCAGGGGCAATTCTTCCTTCTCCTCATGGACAGCCATTTCAAGTGGCTAGAGGTCATCCCAGTCTCCTCCACTACTACTGCCAGGACCATCCAGGTGTTGAGAGGGATCTTCGCCTCTCATGGGCTTCCAGATGTCCTTGTCTCCGACAACGGACCCCAATTCACTTCTTCTGAGTTTCAGGCTTTTCTACAGGCCAACATGATCCGTCATGCCACATCAGCACCGTTTCATCCTTCGTCCAACAGCCAAGCTGAGCGTATGGTGTGCACAACCAAAGATGCTTTAAAGAGAATCACTCATGGCAGTTGGCATCAAGTCTGTCCAGATCCTCCTGTATCCTAAGCCTGTCTTCTGGAGTGTTGCCTATTCCTGCCAGTTTGGTGTCATCTGCAAATTTGATGAGTTCCCCATCTATCCCCTTGTTCAAATCGTTGATGAAGATGTTGAAGAGCACTGGGCCCAGAACAGAGCACTGGGGCACCCCACTACACACTTCCCTCCATGTAGATGCGGTTCCATTGAGGACCACACGCTGAGTATGACCAGTCAGACAGCTACGGATCCATCTGGTGGTGATGCTGTCTAACCCACATTTTTCTATCTTATCAAGTAGTAGGTTATGATCTACTTGATCAAATGCCTTACTGAAGTCCAAGTAACTTATATCCACAGCATTCCTCTGATCCACTAATTTTGTCACTTGGTCAAAGAATGCAATAAGGTTTGTCTGGCATGATCTGTTTTTGACAAACCCATGTTGGCTTTTAGTAGTGATTTTGTTTGCCTCTAGGTGTTCGCTGATTCGTTGTTTGATTATCTTTTCCAGAATCTTCCCAGGTATTGAGGTCAGGCTGATAGATCTGTAATTTCCTGGATCCATTTTTTTTCTTTTTTTGAAGATGGGAACTACATGAGCTCTTTTCCAGTCCTCTGGTAGTTCCCCAATGCTCCAAGATCTTTGAAAAATATAGTTCAGTGGTTCTGAGATCATATCTGCCAGTTCCTTGAGAACCTTGGGGTGTAATCCATCTGGTCCTGGTGATTTGAACTCATCTAGGCTGGACAGGTGCTCACTTATCATTTTCTTGCCTATCTTAACTTGTGTTTCTATACTGTTTTTTATGGCACTATTTTTGATAGGTTGGTCTGTTTGGAAAGATGAAGCAGAACAGAACTGGAGATCTTGTAGTCATTGCTTACTTACAAATACTAGAGGTGCCACAGTATAAATCTAAAATGTACAACAATGGCAGAGGCAAGCACAAATGATGTACTTTCATTACTTCATCTGTATGAAGCAAAACTTGAATGAGAACCCAAAAATATCACAATATGATCACAAAGAATGTCCATCAACAATCCACCCCTTGTGAAGCACATATTAGTTCTTTCTTGATTAGCCCATTGAAATCCAATATCTTCTGTCCTCCACTCAGTTAAAAAAATGATTTGGGATGTTGTTGTTGTTGTTGTTTAAAAAAAAGCTATCACAATCACAGTTCCAAATAAAGCTCCATTCTATCCAATGTGACCTGGTAAAATGTGAATTTGTTTGATTAGAGATTTAATAGCACTTCTCCAGCCTGCCTGCAGTTTTTTCACAAGTTTTACTATTTTTAAAATATACTATGCAATCACAGTGTAGAAAGTGACTTTTGATAATATCTCACAATCCTTGGTTTCCTTCCATATTTTGAAAATGTAAGCTTCATTTTTTTTTAATTTCTCAAAATTAGCCACCAGAGATAACCCTTTTCTTCTTTTTTTGTCCTTTTGTCTTATAGTATGTAATCTCTTGTATCTGCACTCAGTGACTATGGAAACCCTCACTGGCAAAGCAGCAGTTCAGAAAGCAGTATCTTCCACTTTTGAACAAGAGATGCTGCCCACACCCACCATTGTCCACTTCAAAGTTACTGCATTAGGAATAACTTTGACTGACATCCAGAGAAAGTAAGAAAGATGCATTGAGGGCGGGGAGCCATTTTCTATAGCCATCTCTATCAGAAGAAAGCTTCAAATGGAAAAGATGGCATATTTTTTTCAAAATTTATCGGGGGGGGGGAATAGATATACTTTCGTGTGGGGGCGCGTTGGCTCAGACAATAAAGACCCTGAGCTTGTCAGCTGGAAAACTGACAGCCTGGGTCTGAGGCCTGAGCAGCACACTATAGAGTGAACTCCTGCCCATCTAGCAGTTCAAAAGTATGCAAATGCGAGTAGATAAATAGGTACCACTTTGGTGGGAAGGTAACAGCATTCTGTGTACCTTGATGTATAATCGTGCTGGCCACATGACCATGGAAGTGTCTCCAGACAATGCTGGCTCCCTCAGCTAAGAAATGGAGATAAGCACTGCCCCCAAGAGTCAGACATGACGACATGGGAAACCTTTACCTTTACTTTTGTCTATTTTCCCTGTGAAGTGGCCAAGTTAGTCCGTTGCATCCAAAACATTAGGTGGAAAGCTGCTCCCTTGCATCTCCAGCTCCTATCACCAACATAGGTACAAGTTGTGGGGGGCTGGTTCACACCCAAATGTGATTTGTTTACTTTGGTTTTAGTGCAGTATGTGAGTCCAGCCATTATCTGTTTTCACATTCTATATGAAATCGGCCACTATGAATTATTTAGCAATTCGTAACTTAAGAATCTTGCCTTGGCACCATGTTTAAACACAATGTCTGCCTGAGTCAGTGACCAACTTTATGTGTCATGCTATTATGGCATTTGGGATTTGGTTTAATTTATACAGACTACAGTCTTGAATAAAGAAATTAGTCATATTTTATTTCTATTGAAATCAATGGCACAATTAGTCATAAATAAATCATGAACTATTTACTGTATTTCAATGAATTAAATCGTGAGTCACTCACACTGGATCCAGCCCAGTCTGACTGACAGAAAAAGCATTCCTGTGAAATAACAAACACTTTGTACAGCTTAATCTCCTTTATCTTAAAGCTACATTAAAATGATTGGCATTATATTACAGTGATTTCACAATGATTTCACTGGAGCTAAATTACAATAATTAAGGCTGCTGTCCTATTAACCCATACCTGGATTACTACATATATGCTACACATTAAATATAAGTGGGATCTTTGAAGTAAGATTAAGAATTGTTTTTATTGAATTCATTCATTGACTTATCATTGTCAGCATGTAATTTTTCTTTATTTTCTTAACTAACTGTAAACATTTTTAAAATGTGTATCCAATATAATATTCAGTGACATCTCAGCCCTTAGCCTGGAAAGCATTGACTGGGGCCATTTCACCATTAGATATCATGATAGTTCTTATTAGTAGGAATACAGAAATGTTTGCTGGATCTCTTCCTTGCTTTCTTCACATACAAACACACCTTCCCTACAGGATCTTTTTCAGACGGCACTATCCATTGGCTACCATCAGTTTTTGTGACATGGATCCTGAAAATCGAAAGTGAGTACTCTTCAGCTTAAATCTTATAGCAAACATTGAAGATTGAACTGATTTAATATTTAATATTAATATTGCCATACCCTGAGCTGCAGCAAATCCTTGTAACAAAAAATCCTCCATCACAAAGGAAATTATAAAATGGATTGTTTTACATAATACAGCCCATTCATGTCCTTATTTCATGTTATATCCACATATTCAATTGTATGCAAAAAAAAAATCAAAATTATTTCAATCTTGGGAAGCTGCAGAGCTGCTAATTTATCATTCCCTTGAAAGGCCTTCTCCTCAGATGGCTAACATCCAGGATTAAGACGTAAGGGAAATCAAAAGTTCTCACAAATACTGAAATAATTTTGCATATTTTTATTATGAAAATAGTTATTTATTTATAATTTTTATTAAGAGTTTTAAATAAAAGATTGAAAACTAGCAAGAATTATTACAAAGTAAAGAAAAAAGAGAGAGAAAGTATAAGCAAAAAGAAGTAGAAAGTAGTAGCTTCAGATTTTCTTTGCAACAAATATAAGTACAATTAATTTTTACTCTATGATTATAAAAAATTTTTTATATTATCTACTTTTTCTAATCCTAAAAGCCATAAATCACAAGTCCATTTTTTTCTGTTTCATGCAAAAAAAATATCTATAAGAGGTTTTCAGCCAGTAATAAACATAGTTTTCTTAGACAATACAAACACAGGCCAACAACAGATAATAACTTGTTTTATGTGGGTTTCAAATATACCACAGCCAATCCAGTATTTAATTCTACTGCTGAACTCAGTAAGATACTCATTCTGGAGTGGTATAGAAGCTTCAGAATGTAGAAGAATATTCAGGTCCTCCCATGATTTATTTCCCCGAAGTGTTTGTTTTAGTAATATATTTAAAATATTTTATCAAGGTTACTTCTTTTCTTTCCACATATATGATCTTTGGGGGAATAATACTATCTGTTATTTTTACCGGGACTATTTCCCAGCAACCCATTTTATCTTTTGCCTGCACCTGGAAATAGTTCCCAATGAATTGTTTGGTCAACATAACAACAGAACTGAGGTCTTGGTGACATTTCTGGAATTCAAGCATTATTGTGAAGATGTTGCTTTAAAAGGGTTTTTAGCACTGCTGAAATGTTTGTATAAATTTAAGAAAATATAGAATTTAATTTTATTGCACAATTTTTCTACAGCAAATCTCTGGTGCTTATCACATGATAAAAGCAAAAGTGTCTGAATAATAATGAAATATAATTGCAAGTCCTTAGGCATTGGGATCTACTTTCTAAAAGCAAGAGAAATGTAATAGATATTATTCACTGTTCTAATGGAAAAGATCTATGGTCTAGTAGTGGCATGGATCAAAGCTTGAGTATCTCTATCACGGGCCGGCTGGGGTTCTTTCCTACATCTCCCCTCCACTTCATCTTCCACACCCTTTCCCTCAACCTCATCATTTTTACAGGGTATAATCCAGCCGCAGTCAAAAAAAAAAAAGGGGGGGGGATCCGAATGTGGGTGAATGTTTGAAGGGAATGATGGATGGAGGTGAATGGGAGATGCTGCACGGGCAGGAAAGACAGCTTAACCAGTACGCCTTAGTGGGATCATGTGCAGAAAGGGGGCCCCGGGAGGTAGGAGGGCGTCCCCGCATGAAAGACGAGGGCGATGGGAGGGTGGAGGGGCGGAGCAGCCAGGACGATGGTATAGAGAGAGGCGATCCGCCAGATACGAAGATAGGAGAAAGGGGGGGAAAGACTGACTGCGGCTGGATTAGACCCTGTAAAAATGATGAGGTTGAGGGAAAGGGTGTGGAAGATGAAGTGGAGGGGAGATGTAGGAAAGAACCCCAGCCGGCCCGTGATAGAGATACTCAAGGGCCGTATAATGACAAACGGGAAAAGAAGGTAAAAGGGTTACGTGCGGGTAAAACAAGGATACTCACAGCGCAGGAGCGCACGTACCGGGGCCCGATCACGCGGTCCCGTAGCCGGATGCAGACATTTGGAAGCAGCATATAAACCCTCCCTAAAAACTGCCTTGTCAACCCTGATGATGTCGGGAGAACCCGACGAAAGCTTGGTTGCCTTTATTTTTAAACATAGGATCTGAAGTAATTTTGAAATCTATAGTGTTCTATGAGCTAGAAGAACTACATCAGATAACCCATCTATGGGGTTTTCAACTAGGCTTCCAATACAGATATTTAGTGTAAGAAATTCAGGTTTGTTCATGGATAAAATTTTGTTGGAATTACAGGGGGAAAAAATCTTGAATACTGAGAGGGGTTAAAAAACTATTCTGAACATGCATTTATTTTTTAGTGCAATGTAACATCAAAATTGCAGGGACAAGGTCAAAATGTGTAGAACAGAATTGTCTCAGTAAGAAAGTAGGATTTTTTTTTTAAGTTCAAAATCTGGGAAGATCACCTATGTTTCTCCTTATTCCATTTCTTTTCACCAGGCTTCAGCCATAGAATAAAAGAAGCAAACCTTTTTTTTCTCATATTATTAATTTAGTTATTTCTGTGAGTTCATGTGTATTAAATCTAATATTTTTTTTTATTTTAAGGTGGCAAAAGTTTTCCAAAACTTCAAGGTAAGTTTTATGGATGACATGAATCAAAGATGGTGGCCTTGACTGCACAGTCAAAACCCATCCCCTTTTTATATGTATTGTAGATGTAAGACAGGCTAGATAAGGGGGGGGGGCTTTGATTATACAGACATAGGTACCGACTTAACTTTTTTGACTCATATCCCTTCCACAGTTTTTCCTGTATTAGATGTTAGTCAGGGAGGTTTTTTAAGCTATTGGCCAAGTAAAGGTTAAAAAGAAAAAAACAGTTACACAAATAGAGTTTAAAGGCATTGAGGTTGTATAAATGTGTCTTTGTTGAGCCAACATCTAGATTCTAATAGTGTTTACTACTTAAATATAAATTCCATTAATTTCAAAGGGATTGCATGTACCTACTTGATTAACATTACAGCTCATGTCCCATTTTGTAATTATACTCTTAATTAATTTTGGATCTAAACTTTAATCTTTATTGCTGCCTCTACTGTTTCTTAAATGACTTACATGATGAATCAATGAAAGGAAAGAGGAAAATTGAGTGCATAAGATCAGTGAGTCAGTTTGGGTATTCCTATTCCTTAGAGATTTCAAGCCCAGACCAGATGCCATTTGAACAAAGGATTAAAATGCCTTTCATAGCATCTTGCCCCTCCTGTGGAACACCAGAAACAAAATGCATTATGTAAAAGAAAAGTAGTGTAATATAAAAACCTTCTCCACACTCTTATTAAAGCCATTTCATCATCATTAGTCATAACTATAAAGTGGTAAATCTATTATTTCAAACAAATGCTTCCTCTCTGTCTTTCACCATAGGATCTTTGGTGTTGTTTCCAAGAGCCCAGCTGATTCTGAGAATATTTGCCACCTCTTTGCAGAATATGATGCGGTGCATCCAGCTTCTCACATAGTTGACTTTATCCAGAAACTTCTCCTTGAGGTCTAAGGCTGCCACAGTACTGAAATGTCTGTTTCTAGCAAATTCTTTGCCTTGTGCAATGTGCCAAACAATGTTACCTCTTCAAGCTGCTGTGTTGTGTTTTGAGGCTGCAGATTGATTTTCATCAGTAGGAAACCACTTAAGATTGTTGGTATCAACCTTCATAATCTCCAAACAAAAAAAATAATTGCTGGCTGGGAATTGATTTATCTGAAACAATAATCAGGCTATTTAATATCAGCTCTCTCTGTTACAATTGAATAGTTGCAATGAGAAATGAGAGGACTTTATAGGAATGGTTTAACAGAGAACCAAAAGCATATTCTGTCCTATCTACAAATAGACTAGCATTATATTTTCTGACCTTCTGTTTTCTCTAAAATAGTCTTTTGTCTGATTTATCAGAAACCTATCCCTCTTATTGGAAAAGATAGACTTTTTACAACTGATGTTACTTTGGGGGGGGGTAACAACTCAAGTACTGGGAACAAGATTGCTGATAGCGATGTAATAGATTATTAACACCATTTCAACACCTTTTTGATATACAGTATATTATGTTTCACTTCTTCATTTATTGTAATGGCCAGTGGGGAAGTCCAATAAACTAAGTTTGCAAGCTACTTTGTGCTGAAATGAAATTGAAATGTAATAAACATGCAATTTTACCCTTAAAAAAATCCAAAGCAGGAATACCTACTATAGCTTCATCATTAATGAATGAAAAAATTCCTCAAGCTTATGTTTCCCCACTTTGTATGGAAGTTTTAAATACCCAGAATTTCAAAATCCTTTTTGTTGTTGTTGTCAGAAAGTTTTTTCCATCATTACACAAAAATACTCAGCCTTTTCTTATTGCTTCAGTCTTTGGGGTTTTCACATATACTCCCTTTTATATGGCCATTGGCCTCAATAACACAACAGAGAATTAAAAGGACATAGGATGCGATGAAAGAACAATTCTTAAACATTAAGAGAAACATGAATGTAAGATTTTATCACTTCCTGCATGGGACTTGCTATAATTAATTTGCATCAGGTATAGACACTCTGTATCATGAAAGCTGCTGGACAGAGCATGAGAGGACAGGCAGTTGGAGCTGCGAATGTGACACATATAGCTGGGAATTCTCCTTGATTGTACTGTAAATTCAGGAGACGAGAGAAGACCAGTTCACAGCCTTGACTCTGAGAGGCCCAGGAACTGAATGCTACTTTAAGTCTCCATTTTCTCCCTGATATACCTTCTTTCATTACATCCTATGGGGTTATGAAAATAATTAATTAATATAGTTATATTTCTTTATTTCCCTCGGTCATTTTAACTGCTGAACCGTACTTTGGATGGGGTATACTTCATTACTTCCATCCGCTACCATGACTGTCAGATCAATGGCATTTTCTTAGGTACACCAAATTGTTCTCCCTCCATGTTGTTAGACAGTCTTTCCATCTGCCCAACAGACCTTTTCTTGAAAGGAAAGCTGGAGTAGGATCAGAAGAAGAAGAGAGGAAGGCTCTCAAGATGAGAATGGATAAATCACAAAGGTAAGCCAATCATTTTCACTGTAGAAAGATAGTTACCTACATACCATTGCACTGATTTCAATTGTGTTGAATTATTTCCCCATGCAAGAAAACATAATAATAAAAACAATTCTATAACCTATTTCTTGCATCCATCTTCTTTTCATTTTATATGCCTATGAATATAGGCAGATCCCAAGGCCATTGTAATTAATTGGATGGAGGCCAATTAATTGAATCTCAGATTAGACAAATGAATATTATTGTTAAGGCATGGTTTATCCAACTAAATCATGTTCTACCTATTGTGGAAGTAGCTGCATTTTACAACTTTCTACAACTTGAAAGCATCCTCATGAGTTGGACTCTGAAAGTCAATAATCACCAGCTAATCTAGGAGTTGGTCCAGTATATTGAAGAAGAAGCATGAGGTTAGAGAGACTTTTTACATCTTGTGGATATTGCATAGTTATTATTAAAGGCTCAAGCATTTCTGGGGTTTGGAGCACTTTTTAACTCTTAAGCTAATGCACTGTGTATGAATGACTTAAAGAGCTGACTAGGCTCACATTTAGTTCTATGTTATAGCTTCATAAAGGTGCAGGAGGCCATCCTAATGAGTGTGGGAATTGAAATTAAAACATCCCAAACAGAAGACTGTCTAGCCTCCAATGAAGGGAAATCTATTACTTTTTACTTTATTCTTATCCTTAAAAAGCTTTTTTCAACACTCAATAAAATTCTGACTTTCTGTCACTGAAATCCAGCCCTTCATATCCTGCTTGAATAGGGTTTGCTCAATAACCTACAAATGGCAGAGTTCACAAATCAACAGCAAGCATAATTCAGAAACTTTTGTGAGTTTGGGGGGGTAATATTTGAAATGTGTGGGCCATGTGGAAAATAGTCTGCACCTAATCAAAAATCATTGACACAGGAAAGTGATTTGTTCCCAAAAGGTTGCGTCAATGGTTGTGGCCAATCAAAATATAGTATGCTTTCTACTCAGCTAAGGTATCGCTGAATAAGCTCAAGTCTGTTGAAGGCCATTCAGAAAATCTTTCCAATTTCAGAAGCATGATATTTGGGGGGGGGGGGGAATGCCTTTCCCTGCTTTGTTTTGCAAATACATGATGTGTTCTTTCATGAACTATACTTGACCATCAGCTCTTTCTGCCTTTAGAAGAGCCATCAAACATGCTTACCTTTTGCCGAGGCTTATTAACTATTTTGATTTACAATCTGTTGCTTCACTGAATTAATGAAAATATGTTTACAGATGCAAGGTAATGCTATGGAAACCATATTATGGCTTTGCATGAGGAGTGATGGCTTCAATGAATGATGTTCACCTCAGTTTCGATTAATATCTGATCACGTACCTGCCATCTTAACTTTTATATCACAACCACCAACATGCAGATGCCCTCCATAGCTGCTCCTGAAGAGTCTTTAGAAGACTCCTTTCATGCAAACCATGGTAGTTCTGATGGCTCCCAGCTCATTTATCTTTATACCCATTTCATATTGTTAAAGGTAACAAAATGTCATGTTCTAGGACAGGGGTAGGCAACCTTGGCTCATTTATGACTCGTGGACTTCAACTCGCAGAATTCCTGAGCCAGCCATGCTGGCTCAGGAATTCTGGGAGTTGAAGTCCACGAGTCATAAATGAGCCAAGGTTGCCTACCCCTGGTCTAGGACAATTAGAGGAAGGAGAGCCTCTTTCCATATGCCTGAGATTGGTATGGAGGGCTTCTTCTAAACACCACTGCATGCTGAAATACTTCAATAATTTCTTTAGGAAGAGAGAACTTTTCATTGATCATCTTGTACTCCCTTTTCTCAGTTGTAAAACATGCTCTATAAGAAGTGTCTCTTATCCCCATTTTGTTATCTTTGGGGTACAAGGAAAATCTCTTCTTAATCCTCTTCTTCTTTTATCTGCTGTTGCATAATATTTTTAAGATTCATATGTCTTTCATATATTGGGATTTTCTGATAGTGCTTAAACTTTTAATCTGGTAGTGTTTTAATCTTTGCTGATTTTAAATTGCTATGTTAATTGATTTATTACTTCACTTTATGCATAGGGGATGTGTTTGTGTTTCGTTATGCATTGTCCTTAGAGCTATCCAGGAAATTTTAAAAATAAACTGAATAAACACAGTTTTTCCTCAACCTGAGCCCAACTCCCAGTGACTTCATGAACATGTCAGTGTTGTTTTCTTGGCACCAATATGAAAGTCATTTGTTTCTTCTGGGAAAATAAACAAATATATGAAGCAATAAAGTGTTCAGAATGAGCTATAATTTTCTGAGTTTCCTGTTATGCTTTTCTGTTTTGTATGTGTTATCAGTCCATCTGGAGTTAGTTTCTCAGCTATCAATAAAATGAAGGCTTTTTTATAAAAGTATTCGTTAGCTGTTTAGAATCTGTAACATATGAATTGGAAATGGAACAGGGGATACCTTAATTTTATGTTCTATAAGCTGGTTGGGTACATTTTCTGGACAGATTCCATCCAGTTGTGTCCCCAAATCAGATACAATTCAGTCTTTGTTACTAGTCAATATACTTCATTAAAAGTGACAATAATTTAATGAGAAGGAAGGAACTGTTTTCTTGCCTTCATTGATGAAGAAATAGAGTAACAACTTACTTTTAAAAAGCCATAGAGGAAGCACACATTTATATAAAACTGCTCTGAAAACTCGACAGCTTTTTCTTTTTTCCTTCTGTTGAAAGAAAAATCATCAAGTCCAGTCCATGCCGGGTGTAAACAAAATGGAGGCTAAAACGCTGGAAATAAAAATGGAGGCTGCTTAGGAAAGAAGGTTCTTGTTTATTTAATTGCCAGAAACTTCAGTGACACAACATGTTTCTGGGGTGGCTGACAAAATGGAGCTGGGAGTGGGTGGATTTTTATACCTTCTTGGGTTTTGTATTTTAGATTGTTCCTGAGCTTGAGCGTGCCCTTTTGGTATTCTAATGGTGGTGGGTTAATCCTATTATGTCCTAAAGGTCATGTTCCTGTCCTTGGAGTCTTTGCTTTTCTAATCCTATCAGCTCAAACCTTCTCTGGGGATGGGGCTAAAGGCATTTGGCTTATGAATAGGTAGCCCAGTCTTTCTGAATAGGATTATCAAATCTGCATTTCTACAGAGTTGGCCTGCTCAGTTTCTGCCTGGGGAAACTTGGGCTGTTTCTGCCTCCCATAAGATTTTTCTATTATTCCTTTGCCTTTTTTTAATATTCTCCAAAATATTCCCTTCTCTAGGAGCGGGGGTGGGTGCAGATTTTCTACCCTTCATTAAAACTACTTGATTTAGATCACAAGTTCCTGCTGAGAAAATAAACTTACTACTCTTGTGCTGCAGAGGGTGCCAATGAGTTAGATTTCTGCTCTATCATATTTTTACTCACTAGGTCGAACATTTAACAGAAGTTTAAGTTCCTGCTGAATGCAGTCCGGTTTTGATTAAAATAAAACCTCTTGCTAATGTTCAAGTTTGCTATTTTTTTCCTGGCAGATTACAATCTATTTCTCTGAGGGGACCTGGAAAGCCATGAACAAAGACCTTTTTAATTTACTCGCATTTATGATAACTCCACCTCATTAAAACACATTTATAATGGTAAAGAGAGCTATGAAGAGATGAACATTTTGATTTTCCAGATATCAATAAAATCAGAGGTTTTTCTAGACGGGCTCTTTTCCCTGACTTTCATTTTAGTCCTTTTTTATAACTTGAATTAGAATTCCTTTTTCTTGAACCTTCTTCCAAATTTGCAGAAGAGGGGAATTTAGCATCTATATTCAGGTTTCAGCCACAAAGGAAGGACACATGTTTATATAAAACTGCTCTGATCTTAATTCAATTTAGAAATAACTACTCATAAATTGAGAACTATAAAACAGATACATACTGTATATATGTATATATAAGCTCACTTTTTCAAGTCTGATCCAAGTTCTATTGATAATGGCTGGATAATGTTTTTCCAAAATGTTCCAAGAACATCATAAGCACTATTATAGTAATCTTCCCTAAAATAGAAACAAGGTTAGATGTAGAACTGGGTATAACTGTA